GTGACAAGGAGAGATTGGAGAGATTGGGGCTGTTTTTCTTGGAACAGAGAAAACTCAGGGGCGACATGATTGAGCTATACCAAATTGTGAATGGTACAGATAGAGTAGACAGGAGGAACCTGCTTCCCTTGGAAGAGAATTCAAGAACCAAGAGTTATGGATTCAAATTAAGTGGCAGAAGGATTAGAGGGGACATGAGGGAAACCTTTCTATGCAGAGTGGTGGGTGTCTGGAATTCACTGCCTGAGTTGGTGGTGGAGACAGAGATCTTAAACTCTTTTAAAATGGATCTGAATCCGCACCTTAAGTGCTGTAAGCTGCAACACTATTGGCTGTGTGCAGGAAGATGGGGTTAGAAAGGGAACATGGGTGTTTTTGGGTCGGCATGGACAAGATGAGCCAAATGGCCCTTTCTGTGCTATTTCATTTCTATGGTTCCATCTGCCACTTGTTGAGCTTTGTGCAATAATCAGCGAACGTCCCCACTACTGACCTCGTGATGGAGGGAAAGGTATTGGGGAAGCACTTGGAAGACGTTTGGGACTAGGACACTTTCTTGCTTTTCATCAGTTATGGATCCAACCTGAAGAGAACCTCCCTCACTCCACACCACCCTGCCCCTCCACTCACACTGACTTCAGTCTTATCAAAGCTCCTTCATGGCACAGTCAAATGCTGCCTTATTATCAGCAGCCGTCACTGTTATCTCACATCTCACGTTCAGCTCATTTGTCCATGTTTGGACCAACGCTGTAATGTGTTCAAGAGCTGAGTGGCCCTCACAGAACGGGATCTGAAGGGTCTTTGAGTTAGTTATTCTTTTGCAAGTGCTACTTATTGAACTGTCTACGACATCTTCTATCACTTTTTGCTGATCAAAAGCAGATAGTTAGGGTGGGAATTGGCCCGGATGGATTTTTCCTGCTTTGTCTGAATGAGATATACTTGAGTAATTTCCACATTGTTGGGTAGACAGCAATTTTCTAACTATATTTGAACAGCTGGACTAGGGGCATGGCCAGTTCTGGAGCACAAGTCTTCAGTAATGTTTTTGGAATGTTAAGGCCCAAAGCCTTTTCAGTGTCCACAAAAACAAACTGCACGCAAAACTCCAATTATGGCTTTGTCAGTGTCTTATACAGTTTCAGTCATCTCATGATACCACCTCAAATCAACTTGATTAGTGGAAGCCTACATTTATGGATCTCTTAGTTAGTTCCTTCAACACTGTGATAATTTTGTGACTCTGTGGGCCCAAATAATCACATTTTAAGTTCAAAAATGCAGGATCTCTATTGGGTGCATTTATTGCCTCTCTCCATTTAGCTGACAAATCAGTATATTGTCACTTGGCACATGTAGCAGTAAAATACAGGATCCCAGTGTACATTGTCATAACAATTAATTCTTATTTCTTTAAGATTGATATAGTATTTTAATACCTGGCTTATCCTGTACTTGAACATTATCATCAAGCAGGAGGACCCCTCACTTGATGAGTAGTGCAGGAGAGCATGTCAGGAGCACAGATCTGAAAATGATGTGCCAACCTGGTGAAACTACAACACAGGGCTACTTGGTGACTGAACAATCAAAGCAGCATGCAATACAGTGAACTATGAAATATGCAAGGATAGATGTGAAGACAATGTTTCCTCTAATGAGAGAATCTGGAACTCAGGGTCATTGTTTAAAAACAAGGGGATTGCTCATTTAGAAGAGATGAGGTGTTTTATTTTCCCTCAGAGAAGGCCAGGAGTCTTTCAAATGTCTTCCTGCAAGGGTGTTGGAAGCATAGTCTTTGAATATTTTTAAGGCAGAGTTGGATGGATTTTCGATAAACTGGAAATTAAAAGGTTATCAGGTAGGCAGGAATATGGGTTGGAAATCACTGGCAGACTAGGCATGATCTTATTAAATAGGGGAGAGGGTCCAGGTGGCTGAATGACTTACTCCTGTTCCTGCTTTGTATATTTGTATTCTACAACCAATGGATCAGATCCTCAATGATCCCTTTTGCAGCTACAAATGATGGTGGACAATTAAATGATTAATCAGATGAGAAGGCTTTGGGAACATTCCCAATAATGATGTTGGAGCCCAGAAATCATTTGCAAGGGAAAGCTGAAGTGTGTGTATCTATGTTCAGCCAGAAGTTTCAAGTACTGTAGATGATCCACCTAGACTTGCTCCATGGTCCCCAACATTATAGGTAGCTTCAAATAGTCTTTAAACAATTTGATTGACTTCAAGAATAATCTGAAGGTACTGAACATAAAGGGCTCTGGCAACATACCAAAAAATAGCAGTGAAGAATTATGCTCCAGAACTGACTGCACTCCTCGTCAAGCTGTTCCAATCCACCTATAATCTGGCATCTACACAACAATGTGGAAAATTGGCTGGTTATGACCAGTCCACAAAAAGCAGGACAAATCTAACATTGTCAATTATCACATTTTCCGTCTCGAAGGCACCAATTGGGTCTGTGATTGAATACTCTCCAAATGTCAATAAATATAGTTCCAAAACACTCAAGAGGCTCAACATTATTCAGAACGGCACAGCCTGTGTGATCAGCATGTTACCCCCCATTTTAAATATTCATTCCCTCCATAACTGACACATAGTGGGTGCATAGCATATTCACACCTTCTAAATCATCAGCCTCTAGCATTGAAAAGGACAAGGACAGCATATTTCAGAGAACACAACTCTATTCTGTCACAGCATCATATTCCATATACAAGCAGCAACATTCCAAGGCTCTTTCAACAGCACATTTCAATTCATTAATTCGATGAAGAATAAACAGCACATGCATAGGAAGATCACTACTAGATTTTCCTCAAAGGAACATACTATCCTGACTTTAAAACATATCACTGTTTCTTCACTAGCACTGAGTCAAACACTTGCAAACCCTTCCCCAAGAGGACTGAAAAGTACCGCACAAGAAGTACTGTACCTGTTCAACAGGTGACTAACAAACACCTCGGAGAAAGCCAATAAATGTTGGACATTTAGTGCACATATTCCAATGTCACAACTTACTGGAGTAGCTCTCTGGAAGCCAAGTCCCACTATTCGTAGAATCATCACAAAAGTTAAAGATATTAAAATAAGTACACAAAATTCCTATTTATATTCATAGGTTGCTGAGATGGTCCTTATGATTCTTCTGCTGGTCAGACATTGTTTTTCAGTTGTCTTTCTCTGGATGCTTCCACTGGTTTGCAAGAGGCACAGGATGACCAGGTCACTTAATAAAGATCTCTGACTTCTCAGTTAAAAGTCACAACTTGCAAGCTGCATCTGTACATAACCAACTGGTTTCAGTTTATCTACAATCCAAATATCAATAATAGCTTGTTACTGTTTAAATGATATTTGCTATGAGTGTCAGTTTACTAGCGTTTTAAAACATGCAGCAATCTTTGAAAACACTGACTGTAAAACAGTTCTCCCTCATTTCAGTCTAAAATAAAAAAATACACAAGGAAAAGGTCCTTACACCGTGGATGAATAAAATACTATCAAGAATAACAAAAGTAAGAATATTTGGAAAAATAGCATACCTGATCTGGATATTTATCACCAATCCTTCCTCATCACTGACCAATGTTCTAAAGTTTCTTACACAGCAGCATTGTGGGAAAGTCACTACACAAAAACTGCAACAGTTCAAGTTGAAATCAGGTGATCATCTTCACAAGACAAAAGTGACTGGACTGAAATTTGCTCTCTGAAGATGTTTGCAGTTCAGTCACTTTTTCCCAAATCAAGATGTTTGCATGCAAAACTATCTACTAATGCAACTGAAAAAACACTTTTTTATTCAGGGTTCATCCAGCCCTGCACTCTTTAATTCATTTAGGTTTGAACACACAAATTGATACATTCAGTCACTCAGATTCACAACAAGAACATAGGACTGACAGAGATACGGTCATAAAATTTCATTTACAAATATTCTTTGTACTTTCATTTTTATACACAAATTACTTTGTTATATGGAACAGTGAGTAAAAAAGGAATTAAGGAAGTAAAAATGCACACTACGGTAACGACAAAAACACAGAAGATAATGTAGGATTAACTGTAGGAACACAAAATGCAATCAACATGCCACAAATTTGTTCATCATCAAGTTTTAAATACTGTTATCTTTCACTTATTTTAGTAGATTAGTTTATCTCTCAAATCATTTTATGTGCCCTTTTTATGATTGCAGCAGCAAAGTACATAGTCAATAACAATCTTAGTAACAAAGAAAACAGTCTGAAGTTAAATTTTGGGCGTGTACATGTTCTGAAGGTGGAGGTGATGTGGGTGGGGAAAGAAGGGTGGAATTAACAGGCTTACATGATCACAGCATGAATCATTTCCAGCTTGCAATCAAACACAGGACAGAAGTCTTGTTGAAAGAAGCAGAATTTTAAGCACTGGCACATCACCATCCACAATATGGGAGGAAAGCCTTGGCCTGCAGAACTCTCTCAGTACTGTACTGGATTATCAGCCTGTGCTCAAGTCTGGGAGGGGAATTTAAACACACAACTTCCTGAATCAGGCAAAAGTGCGATACCAAAGCCACTCCTGTGCAGGAGAATCCATAAAAATTATAAATACAATTATCATGCTGTCTCGCTTCCTACTTTGATCTGTTGAAATAACTTTCTCTAGTTTGATCAATACTGTGCAGCATTCACATGAACCAAGGTGAAAACCCCAGAGTTTTAAATAAGGTCACCAAATATCTGGACTTGCGAATATGTATGAGGATGCCCAACAGCCTGCAGAAAATGCCAAATGTACTTTGTGAAACCCAGATATTAAAATAAAAGCTGGTGGGAACACAACACAACCATTGCAATCAATTTTCAACCCCGATCTTTACAATGTTCCCTACCCCACATGTCCTGTTTTATGAAATGTGGGAGGCTAATACATGGGGTAAAAGTTCTTCCTGACAGAGTCCAGTAAGAGAAATAACTTACCTGTCAGATAACTGACCAGAAATAAAGGAACCAGTCAGCACTCCCCCAAAGAACACTGACATAGCAAATGGCGCTTTCCAGTCATCATTGCATACCAAGTTCCACTGAAATGCAAAACAAAATGAAAAATGTAATTTGTGTGGTTTAGGGAAAATTACAGACAAGCCATTCAACTGAAATAGATACACAGAAACAGGGTAGGAGGAAAAGCTCATTCAGCTCATCAAAGCAATGTCAGCACAGGCCTACAGCATTGCTTGCACCATCTAATGACAGAAAGATGTTGCTCCGAGAACTATGATCACGCACATCTGTGTAGTGATTATAATATAATAAAACATTTCAAGATATTTCCTGGAATATTATAAAACCAATATGACACTCAGACACATCTTTTATTCTTTAATTGGATGTGGATGTCACTGGCAAAGTTAACATTTATTGCCCATCCCCAATGGTCCTGGGGAAGTTGGTGAGGAGTCATCTTGAACCACAACAGTGCACCAGATGCAAATACCCGACAGTGCTGTTAGAATGGGAGTTCCAGGACTGTTGATCCAGCAACTGTGAGAGAGTATGTGTGAAAGTGGCATAGTTCCAAGTCAAATGGACAAACGAATTAAGAGCAAAGTGGACCATTTGATCCCTCAAGCTTGCTCTGCTTCAATAAGATCATGGCTGATTCATTAGTGTTTTGATTTCTACATTCTCATCTATCTCGATGATCTTTGATTCCCTTGCCTACCAAGAAGCTATCTACCTTTACCTTAAAAATATTCAATGACCTCACCTCCACCAGCTTCTGATATAGAGAGGTCCAAAACTAAATTTTCCTTATTTTTGCCTACATTTAATTTTCGAACACAGACCACTAGTTCTGTTTTCAACCCAGGAGAAAACATTCTTTCCTGGTCCACATTGGTGTGTCAAGATCCTTTTGGGAAGAATGCACTGTAAACCAACCACCACTATTTCATGATCATCACAAATGTGAAAATGGCCAATTTAATCATAAAAATGGTTCATTTTGACTGTGACCACTACCTAAAATAAAATAAACCACACCAGTTTTAATTAATAAACAAGAAAGCAAAAACCTATTTATTTTGAAAAATTTAACCTTTAACATGTAGCAAAATTGATTTTTTGTTCTAATTTGCAAACTATTGCAATAATATCGTGGGCGGAAAATATTGGCAGAAAAGGAAAAACGAGGTGACTCTCTGGCAGTTCTTTAGCTTTTGGCAATGATATCACATAGTTTTCGACCATAGCAATCCTCAATTCAGTAGCTAATCAGTTGGACCTAGGTCTTGACTTGAGTTTGACATGTTACTTTCTGCGGAGTTTTTGGCTTTTATTTATTTTCCATTCACAGGGAGAGGCAGAAAGATTGCTTGCAGGTTTTTGGAAGCTCAAATCTAACAGCGCCTCAGAGCCTAAACAAACTGTACTTAAAACTAATCCAGAAACCATTGCTGGGAGTAAAGACCATATTTCTTTTTCTGCTTTCTTGCTTGTGGACTGAAATGGGAAAAAAGCTGTTTTTAGAACCAAGGATTGCTACACTGCTTAAAAGCCAGCAACTTGCAAAAGTACCATTTATACTGCTGCTTGTTCAAAACAGTGGTTGAAGTCTGGTTATAGACAAGCCAGGGGCCTGCATATGAATGGCAATTCAGCTGGCAACAAGTGGGTGACTGGTCTGTGAACTAGTGACCAGTTATTGATAACAAAGATCTCCTGCTTATTAATAACCAAGTGATTATTTCATTGGTAGCAGAACAGCTTGATCATGTGAATGCTTGAGAGAGAAGCAAATGGATCTTAGGAAGGAAAGGATTGCTGGGTATTTTTGCCTTGTAGTAAAAACCACCTCAAGATGATCATTGGCCAGAACTTACGTGAATGACTGTCACTTGCCATTTATCAGCCAATACCTGAATGCTACCCACATCCTGTTTCCCGAGGCACAACTGTTTCAACATTGCATGAATGGTGATTACACTGAACATTGCACATACAACCACCATCTCATATCTGAACATAAAATGGAAGGAAGGTAATTGATGAAGCAAGTGAAGATAGTTGTCACAGGAGACTACACTGATGAACTCATTTAACGGTGGTCATTAACAGTTGAAAATTGTCACAGGTGATCTGGTGGTGAGGAAAGCCATTCTTTTGCCTGTGATAGCACTTCTGGATATTAAAAAAAAAATCCTGAGAGGTCTTGTGGTGCAGTAATATTGAGCCAGGAGATCTTGGTTCAAATCCCATCTGCTCCAGAGGTATGTAAGTAACAACTCTGCACAGGTTGTTCAGGAAAAATATTTTTAAATGTCATTAAAAAACTTAAATAAACAAATTGCATTTTATCAAACACATTCTCTAACAATTCACAACAAAATGGAGGAACTCATTCAATGATGGTTTTTATTTTTGTGTAAGTGCCATTTGATGACACTTTGCATTCTTTGCTAATGATCAAGAGGGCACTGATGTAGTGGTTATTGCATGGATTTAGCCAGCCCTTTGTGAGTACAGCATATTGTTAAATGAATGCCAGCATTGCAGCTATGTGGCATAAGGAGGTATTGGGACAAAAGACCAAAAGCTTGGTCTAAAAATTAGGTTACAAGGAGTGTTTTATAGGGAAAAAAAATTCCAGCGAGATACAGGGGTTTAACTAGGAGATTCCAGAGCCCAGAGCCTAGGATTTTGAAAGTATAGCCATCAGTCATAGATAGACTAGCATCATCAAGTGGACACAGTCAGAGGAGTTTGAAGGGTTGAGGGTGAAAGAGATTGCACAGAGGGAGAGGTGATACCATAGAGGGATTTGAAAAAATAAAGCTTTAGCCTCAATAAGTGCCAGTGTTCATGAGCATGATGGGTGATTGAGTTTTGGGTAGCAAGAATTTGAATTGTATTGAGTTTATGGACTAGGTGACAGTGGCCAATAGAGCAGTAAGATACTTAAGTCAATAGATTACAAAGTCATGGAGGAAAATTTTATCGGCAGATGATTTGAGGCTGGGCTGGAATTTGCTGACATGACAGAGGGAGAAGTAGACAGTCTTGGTTATGACACATCCCACTCTAGAAACCTGAGCACATAATCTGGTCAACATTTCAATGCAGTGCTGAGAGAGATTATTCATTTTGTAGAAAATATTAAAATACAATTTCTTCTACCCTTTCAGTTGAATTTACAAGATTCCGTTGCACTATTTGTAGAGAAGCAAAATAGTTTTCATGCCAACATTGCTGAAAAGATTAAGATTGTTCATCTCATTGGTATTTATGGGATATACTGCCACATTTTCCATGTTACTAAAGTTTTTATGTTTAAAAAATACTTAATTAGATGTAAAGTACTTTTGGTCTTACTAAGGATGGATGTGTAAAAGAATTTCTGGCCAATTATATGCAGACAGTATATAATTTTGCACTCTTGTGAAATCTCCCAAATATATTTGCCAGTTAAAAGAAATAAATAAAACCACTTGACAACATTCCATGTATTTAAAATGACTTTTTTTTCACACATTCCAAAATAGAAAAAAATGCTAGCATGGTTGTACATTAACAGATCCAGTGACATTGAGACAATCATAATCGATGGGCCATCCATATTTTCTGTTGTTAAAAAAGGGCAAAGGGGCAAGTAGGCAAAAAGGGCAGTTCAGGCAGTGAGGAAGAAGAGATCAAAGAGGTCATCAAATAAAAGGCAAAAGGGAGTGAAAGTTGTTTTAGAGAAGAGGCAATGCATTCGCCCAGAGTTAGCGCTAATAGCACATTAAAGATCACTTCTGACTGAAAGCAAAAGCATGAAAATAAGATACAGGCACAGAAAAAGAAAAATGAATGGCAAGAGTAAATGTTCTGAAGTTGTTGAACTCAGTCCAGGAGGCGGTGAAGTGCTTAATCAAAAAATGAGGTGCTGATTCTCCAAATTGCACTGGATTTCATTGGAACACTGCAGCAGGTTTAGGCCAGAAATGTACAAACGAGACCAAGGTGATGCATTGGAATGACAAGGGAGTGGAAGGCAGGAGACATGCCTGTGGATTGAGTGGATGTGTCCCTCAAAAAAGTTGCCCAATCCATCTTTGGTCTTTCCAATGTAGAGAAGGCAGCAAGTACATGAGCCAAATGACCGTAAGACATGGGCCATACAGTTCATCAAGTCTGCACCGCCATTCAATGGCTGATCTGATATTCCTCAACTGCACTTTCCTGATGTTCCCCCATAACTCTTGATTCCCTTACTGCTTCAGAATCTGTCTATCTTAGCCCTGAATATACTCAACAACCTAACCTCAACAGCCCTCTTGTGGTGAAGAATTCCACAAATTCACTATCCTCTGAAAGAAGAAGTTGCCTTGAATGTGTGACCCTTATTCTGAATTATGCCCTTTGGTCCTAGACTCCCTGACAAGGGGAAACAAATCTTCTACAACTACTCTGTCATGTCCTCCAACAATCTTGTATACTTCAATAAGTTGGCCTCTCATTCCTCTACATTCCAATAAGTACTTGACCTCTCCTCGAAAGTAGTGGTTTCGTTTCTGGTATCAGCTTAGTGAGCCTTTCTGGACCATTTCCAATGCTAGTGTATCTTTCCTTCGATTAGGGCCCCAAAATTGTTCACAGTATTCCAGCTGTCATCTGAAACCTGGCTGTAGAATATTCTCATTCCTCATCCAAGTCATTTAAATAAATTGCAAATAATCATGATCACAGCACTGATCACTGCATTACAATAATAGCTACAGGTTGTTATCTGCAAAATGCCCCTTTGACAAGTACAAGTAAAATGTGACTTCACCCAGGAGGAGTACTTTGGACCTCAGGCATATAAGGTAAAGAAGGTAAAAGGCAAGTATTACATCGCAAAATTCCCTAGTTTACATTGGGGCACAACAGATTTCCGAACAGAGTATAAAATGGTTAATCAGCATTCAGAATTATGGCTTTTAAAATTTGTTGTGCCCAATGAAGATATGTAAATCTCAATTGCTTTAGTATCAATTGGGAACAAAGAATTAATAGAATTTTCAAATCAGAATTAACAACCAAGAGAGCTAAAGGTTCTTCAAAAAGTCCAGACCACACTAGAAGGCCAAATCTGAATTGATTAAACTTCTCTCTTCATGGAATTTAGACAGAAACCTATAGATTCAACGGACCATTTTGTGAACAGATGCAGAGAAAGGGGTTTATTTGTGTGATTTTCCAGATGGCGAGCTAGGAAAGAGAACTAACAGAATGACTGAGTTGGTGAATACATCCATCCCTGTGATTGCATCTACCTCCAACAAACCTCTCCAGAAGGATTTGCAACACTGGCCCCCATTACCTGGCACTGAAGATGGAAGCAGATCCTCACAGGATGATGTAGCTTACAAATCCCTTGAATAAAAACACCCAAAGCAAGACATGTGGAAGGTGTAGCCTTCTGCACGTAATGCCCAGCTTTCAATCAATTTTGCAAGGCATTTGACAAGAAAGGCCAGTGGCAGAGTAGGTGAACAAGAGCAAAGGCTGATGCAGCTACAAAGAGCCATGCAATGACTCAAACAGACTGCATACAAGCAGTACATTTGAACTACGATAAAGATCATCTGGTATCCTGCCAGAAGAGTATACTTGAAGTGATCAACAAACCAGCATCTGTCAATGTATGCATCAAGACAGAGAAAGTGGTAAACATGTTTCATATTGATGTTTTCTACATGATTGACAATGTTAACAGACCATCTGATCTGTTTGCAAAAATTCAAGCTATCTGTCATCAGAAAACTGATGACTGTTTGTTATTGGCAAAGATTGACATAGGAAAAAATATCATATACTACCTGTGAATTCTACAAAAAAAAATGTTCCAACAGACATGGGATGTTATGACAAAACTTACGAATGGAAAACTTTCAGCATACAATGCTTCAGGGATAGTAGGAACTGCAGATGCTGGAGAATCTGAGATAACAAGGTGTAGAGCTGGATGAACACAGCAGGCCAAGCAGCATCAGGGGAGCAGGAAGGCTGACGTTTTGGGCCTAG